AAAATTGGATTTGTGATCTTAATACATACTACTTGGAATTTATTGTAAGTAATTTTACTGTGTTTTAAATACTAACAGGTTGTACTCAAGGGAGTAGTATTTTACATTATGCTCATGGAGATAGTCAGCAAGCTCACCTATTAAAGCAAGGTAAGAATGAAGCATTCGAGCATACTCCTCTTCTCACCTTCCCTATCTTAAACATACATTTTTTAAAAAATGTGTAGGAAAAAGCTCCACGGGCACTGGTCTCAGCAGTGGGAAACGTCCTAGTCAAGAAGAGGACATGCAGAGTATTGGTTCTAAAGTCCAGCGACAGAGCACTAATTAGGTAAGTATTTTAGAGCTTTATTCCCTGCTTTAGCAGACTGTGTAATCAACATAAATTAAGGTAATTTCCAAAATGGGGCTAATCTCTATTTTCAAACCAGAGAATCTGAGGCATAAATTTTTCAATGATTGTTCCAAAATCAGTTAATTCTTAGGCAAGACAAATGCATCTGTAGTGGACGAGGTACTGTAGTCAATTTTATGGTCATTTGAACTTATGATCTTCAAATTTGAAAAGCTTATGATGTTGTGCTCAAGTTTTTTCTCAGAAAAAGCCATCCTTTTCATTTCCATACTCTGTGACCATGAGTCTAAAACAGTTAAAGTGACTTTTTATTTTAGTGGTATTAATGTAATCTGTTTATAAACTTTTATCCAAATCTTCTCTTTAAGTGTTTATAAATTCCTTTTACCTATTGTGCTACTTCTAAGATCTAAATTCTTTTCAGTTTGGGAACAGTTTAAGCTTTTGTTTAGAGCTGGCCCTTTTTGGAAGTGTCCAAAAGCCATGCCTGTATTCAGTTCAGTGGGATATGGGATACTATTTTGTGATTTAAATTTATATAAAAAGTGTCCATACAGTACATTTGCCAGTTTTTAAAGACATGTTTCTTCAGTTATCTTGAACTGTTTACATTTTTTAAATTATTGCTGTTTTTCAATGCCAGCCTATTAGACTGTAAATTTCTTGAAGATCAGTAAACAGTCATCAGATTTTTATCATTTGATTCCTTGCAATCAAGCTTTATCAATTTTTTTTTCCCTTAAATCACAGAAAACATTCAGGAGGAATACTGTTGCAGCTGAAATTGGTGGGGAGTTCAATACTTTTTCAATTAAATTATTTTAAAATGTTCTTTGTTGATGGAAAGCAGTTACATTTTGAAATGCATTATTTCTAATAACATTTCTGTGGTTTTTAACTTTTTAATGAATTTGACATAGGACAAATGGTAATTTGTATATAAAGAACTTGGTAAAAGAATTTGCTTAATGTAAATATAAATAGTCACAATTAGTATAGATCCATCAATATATTTTTGATAATTTTTCATGTATGGTAAAAGTAGCAAACTGATATTCTGATATAAAAATCAAAATTTTGAAAGTCAGTGTGGGAAAATAGGTTTTTAGACTTTCTTAAAAGAATTTGTTAAAATTTTAGGACAGAATTTTTCTTGACATCACTGTTTGGTCTAACTTTGCACTCTTTGATGATACTGATTGAGAAAATGTGTGTAATCAAAATTGGTAGTTATAGCCTTTATTAACACAGACAGTATATGTTTTAAAGCTTCATGTATGCCTGTTTTGATCCAAACTTGTAGAAGTATCGTGTGTTAAGTTCTTGTCTCCTTTTTGTTCATTTACAGCTAATGTGACTTCGTTATTAAAGTATATGCATATATGGAATCTTGTGTACTTGGTGGTTGTATTTTTCTTTTTTTTTCTTTTTTTGTGTGTTTCACATAAGGGGGAGAGCATTGGTATGTGAGATGTGATTACAAAATTAGAGACAGATTCTATAAATTACATGTCACCATTCTGAATGAAGAAACAGCTACTATATATTTAGTAAAATATTTTTCAAAATCATTCCATATAAGAATATTATCTTCCATATACTTTATACTCTTAAAAATAAAATTATCTATAAGAAAGATTTAAAACCAAATATACTTTTTTCAAGTAATTGGGCCTATAACTTGTGAGTTAGTCAGTATGGGATAACAGTTAATAGTGTGGGCTCTGGAGTCAAATGCCTGGCTTTGGCACTTGTTAGCTTTGAGATTTGGGGCAAATGGTTAACCTTTTGTGCCTCTTTTCTTGTCTATAAAATGGGGTGAGAGTAGTATCTGCTTCATACTACATATGAAATACTCATAACAGTGCTCGGCATGTGGTAGGATGATTGATAAATGTTAGCTACAGTGTTGTCTTGCTGTGTAACTCCCTGGATTGTGCAGTGCATAGTCTGCATAACTATATGCTGCAGCTCTGGTTAGCTGCCATTATTGTTACCACTATTATTAGCCCTTTACTGTTGTCTAGTAGGCTAGTTCTTACCATGTGGAATTATAACCAGTGGCTTTTGTTTTTCTAACTTTAGTAGTGACAGATGTTCAGTGTGGTAATTGTATTTAAAGGTAACACAAGATAAAATTGAGTCAGAAATCCAGAAACAATCATTTTTAGATGACATGGATTTTTAAAAATATCCTGGATAATGTGTAAATACTGATCAACAAATTCATTACTGTGAAAAGAAAAAAAGTGCCTTATCTTCTTTTACTACTATTAGTAAGGAGTAATATTTTGTTTTTCACACCTGTACTTTACATCCTACTCTTTGGACCTAATTGTAGTGTACAGAGTTGAGAAATTCATAGACCTGGAATTTATCATCACAATTCAGAGGAATAAATGATACAGTTTTAATGTGAATAAATCTGTATTTTAGTAAAACAAGTAATATTTCAGCAAAGACACTGATATTTTACTTTTAAATGTAGAGAGCTTTTAATATGTTTTTTAGAAAAGCTTTTTTCAGTTTGGTCTAAATTGTGACTTAAAAAAAAAAAATCACTGAAAGAGAAAGGTATCAATCAGCATGCTCCAGCTCAGCAGATGTACCATATTTCAATGCAGTGTTCTCCCCCTAACTAAAAGGGTTGGTGTTCTAAAAACCCTGGAGGTGGTTGAGAGATTTTTAAGACCTTTTATTCAGTCAGCAGCTACTCCTTGAACTCTTGTTACCAAAAACTGCTGGCAACCTAGAAAAATTGAATTGAGGGAACCATACTTTTGAATGAAACTATGCAAACTTCTTAAGTTTTTTACATTTATTTAAAATAAATTAGTAAATTTGGAATGTAGAAAACTGATAACAGTATTATTTTTAATCACCTCTTATGGACTAGAAACTTCAGGATCTTCCCATAATTTCAAACATATGTTTGTAATTTTCTTCTAGATAACATGCGTAATACTAGGTTCTTTGAACATCCATTTCTCCAGGTGTTTTTTTCTGATTATATGGTCCCAAAAAAGAACTCTTTAAATATTTAGGATGGAGAAAACTTGGGTAGCATTTAAGACAGTTCACACAGCTAAGTTGGTCAGTTTCAAGTGTTGATTACAATGCACAAGGTTATATGTATTGTCATTCCTCATACAGTTATGTGGAGCCCTGGTACAAGCTGCCAGCATCCTAGTGCACATCTCTGCTCCCTGCCTCCTGACCAGTGACTGCAGCATGCAGTTCTAAGGCCCAAGTTTCCTTTCCTAACTTCCTTCTCTTTTTTGTATTCTACTTTAATTCCCTTTTCCTGGATGCACTGATACACGTTGGTTAGTCTAGACCCCAAATCCTTGTATTTCAGGAAGAAGAGTGCAATAAAGCCATGGATAATAGGGTTTTTGTGTAAGGGTAACTTGGAGAAGGATTACTAGACAAACACTCCCCTACCTCATATACATTAACTACAAAGTTAATTCTAGCATATTCTGGAGATCAAAGTTGATTTGGAGAAAAGGAGTCAAAATTCTTGCTGCTCTGTGGAATTGAAGTGCAAGTGTCAGTCCCTCTCAACAAAGCCTATTGAGCACAAGCTGGGTACTAAGGCTACACTCAAAGATTTGGTTAGCATTTCCTTAGTCCCTACTGTGTTCCAAGAATTGTTCATAGGATAATAAATTCATTAGTATCCACAAGGAGTTCACTCCACAAGGAGAGTGGGCAATCTGGAAGAATTATAGTGCTGTGTGTTAAGGCTGCGTTAGAACTGTACACAATATACTGTCAAATATACAAAAGGAGAGGCCTCCAGCCTGGGAAAATCACAGCTTTCCTGACCCCAACTTCACACTTGAGTATAGGACAGCTTGGCCAGTCAGGGCACCCTGACCTAGGAAACATTTTGACTCTAGTTGTGATTAATCATGTCATTGGTTGTTAATGTCCTTGTTCTCCACTAGAATATAAACTCCATAAGGACAGGAATGTACTTTATCCCCCCCTTGTCTTGTTCACTTCTGTTTTTTCATGGCTGTTTCACATGTTTGGCACTTAATAGTCACTCCATATTCATTTGTATGGATAATTGTGAGAATAAATGGGACAGACATTGGCCTGACTTTAAGCAGAAATTAGTTTATGAGGTTGGCATCACAGGTAATAATTAGAATGTAAACCATTTAGCAGTTTATCGGAAAAGATGAGTATTTAGGTGAAGGTGGCAGGATGGAGACGAATCAGACACTAGCTGACTGTTGGATGGGAGGAGGGAGGCAGGAAGGCTACATTTGTTCCAAAGAAGTTTTGGGATATTTCAAACTACGCTTGTTTTGTACACTAGTTATTTACCTATCGAATTATTTGGGGAATTATGAATGGCTACAGCTTAAAAATATAGCGGTTTCTGAGTTATTTCCACCCTTTTTTTCTCACGGGCTAGTATCTTTTCCCAAAGGACAAAACGGCTGAAACTCCAGGTTCTCTAAAATACTGAGAGGAAAAGGGTGTGAAAATGCCAGAGGCAGTAACTGCTGGCTAGAGACAATGTTCCCAGGAAAGCTGTTTCCCACGCAGGCCCAACTCCGCCTCTCTGCTCCGCCCCGCCCCGTGCCGCCGTGCTGCGTCTGGAGGGTCATGTAGTCTGTATCCCTCGCCCTGATTGGCTGCGTGTCTGCGGGCTCACCGGCGCAGCTGAGGGAAATTCACCAGTGACTTGGGACTCTAGCCCCTTTCCCCAGGCCTCGGGAGGACTGCAGGCTTCGGGGAGCCTCGGCCGCGGGAGGGAGAAAGAACGGAGCCAGGCACCTGGGACTCGCTGCACCTTGTACAAAGCAGGTGCTAACAGGTGAGTTGCGCCGTATCTGCGGCCCTGGGGGTGATCGTCACCGGCCGGGCCGCGGTCAAGAGGCTGGGGCCAGGGACCGGCCAATGCGAAGTCAGACTCCCGGCCAACTGCTTGGCCCCGCCTGGCTGGCCTGGCTGGACGCCAGGGCGCCTCAGGTCGGAAGTTCCTCTGGGAAAGGGCAGGCCCTGCCATGATGGATGCGCAGCTTTTGGTCGCCCCTCAAGAGTCTCTCCCTAGGGCCCTCGTTTTTCCTTTCTTACAAACGTGGTTAATTTGAAACTGTCATCAGATCGTACATGTTATAAAAGTAGAACTTAATTGAGCTACTGGTGTTTGTGGAGAGGACTGTATTATGAAAATTGTGCGTATTACAGAAGTGGATTTCATGCCCCCAAAATGTGAGAAACATGAAGCATCAGAAAATAGCCCATATTGTGATTTAACAGACATTTACCTGGAGCATTACTATGTGCAGAGCACAGGGCTAAGAGCAGGACTTGAGCCAAGCTATTGAGTTTGAATCCAAGGTCTGCCCTTTATTAGCTAATCAACCTTGGGAAGGTTACTTTACCTTCATATGTTTCCTCATCTTTAAAATGGATTGTTTTGTTGACTAAATGAGTTTCTGAATAGTCTGTGATTTATGGTTTTAATCATGTAATCTTCACAATCACACAGGATATAATGTACCCATTTTCCTGGTGCTCAAACTGAGGCAGAGAGGTGAAGTGACTACCTCAAGTCATAGCACAACTAGTGAGCAGGAATTAAGCCCAGGCAGCCCACAGCTTTACCCACTACATTAAGTTGTAGTGAACTTGGGGTGTTCGTTTAGTTTCAGTTCACAGATACTGACTTTGTTCCTCAGTGGGCCAAGTTCTTTGCTGGTACAGGGGATAAAGTAGAACAGTATGCAGACCCTGCCTTCCACATGCTTTAATCTAGTGCCGGTTGTTCATAGTTAAACTAGAAGGTGCCCACAAAAACTGTGAAAGTCTTGCAAAATGTTGTGAGTATGGGTCCTTTTTTTGGAAAGGGAGTCTGTGGCTCTCACCAGATTCTCAGATGAGTCTGATCCAAAGGTATGAAGCAAGGTTTTAGCAGAAGAGCTATTGTCTATTATAATGTGAGACACACAGCATGAGCTAAACAAACAAAACCAAAAAACTGGTTGAATGAAGAACCTACAGGAGTATAAGTGCTACAGTAGGGTCAAGAGAGCAATAAGGATGTACTGTATGACACAGAACAATATTCAGTATCTTATAATAATCTATAATGGAGAATAATATGGAAAAATTATATAATATGTATATAAATACCATATGATATCACTCATATGTGGCCTTTTTTTAAAAAGACACAAATGAACTTATTTACAAAACAGAAACAAATAGACTCACAGACATAGAAAACAAACTTATGGTTACTGGCGGGAAAAGGTGTGGGAGTTTGAGATTTGCAAATACTACTATATATAAAATAGATAAGCAGAAAGTCTATACTGTATAGCACAGGGAACTATATTCAATATCTTGTAGTAACCTATAATGAAAAAGAATATGAAAACGAATATATGTATGTATAAGTATGACTGAAACATTATGCTGTACACCAGAAATTGACACAACGTTGTAAACTGACTACTACAATAAAAAAAAACCTGAATCACTTTGCTGTACACCTGAAACTAACACAATATTGTAAACTATACTTCAATAAAATAAATAAATATTAAAAATATTTTTTAAAGGAAAATAAAAAAGAGCAGAGTGCTGTGGAAGAGCACACATTAAGGTCACCTGCCCAGGAATGTCTTTTAGAGTCAGCAGTGCCAGCCAAGTGAAAGGTAGGGAAGCAATTCATTGGAACATGGTGGTAAACAGTCTCTGCCTTTGTGGACAGTGAGACAGAAACCACACATGAACAGCTGCAACTATGACAAGTGGCACAGAGGAACAGTCCATGGTGTCAAGAGAGCATACAGTAGGGCAGGAGATCTCATCTATTTGTGAAGGGCAGGAAAGTTTTCCTGAGAAAGTGACACTTGGACCTAGAAGTTAGGAGCATTGTGGGCATGGGGAACCGCCCTCAGGCTTCAGAGACCGTGTAATGGGAACAGGTGGAGCACCAGGGGCTGAAAGGAAGTAGATGTGGCTTGTATAGGCAGATGGGGACAGGAGATTTGGGTGGGGCAAGAGCCTAAAGGCCCCGGTAAGGCATTTTAATTCTATGTCTTTAGCCTAAAGTGCCACTGAAAGGTTTATTTCAGGGAGGTGACAAGGTCACATTTTGAGAAGAAGCTGGAAAGAAGCCCAAGTGGATTCACTGAAGCCCTGGATGAGAACAGGACCTCTGGGGAGACGCTCTAAGGTAAGAAGAGGAGCGGGTCTGAAACCAGGCCTTGGAGATGAGCCTGCAGAGGAGACAGAGGGAGGTCAGGAGTGCAGGTAGGAAGTAGGAGATTGTGAAGTCTTGGAAGTCACATGAGAGGATTTCAGAGAGAAAGCCGTCAACTCTGCTGAAAGCTGCAGACGTTAAGAGATAGGAACTAAAACTACTGGCTTTAATCACATGGAAATTGTCTTGGGAGTGGTATGAATAGGAGGAGAAGAAATGGAGAGAGAAGGAGCTGCAAGAAATAACTGAGAGGAAGAGGAAAATGGGATTATAGCGGAGGGGCAGTGAAGGGTGAAGGGTGGGAACCTCAGAGAGGAGGACACAGCTGAAGGAGTGAATACATGAGCAAGCAGGGCTCCAGAGATCTCAGGCCAGAGAGTCTGGATCAGCAAAGGAGCAGGGTTTTCCTGGATAATGAAAGCGTAACTGTGGGGAAGGGGAGATAGCAGGTTTACGTTTAGTGTGAGGAGTTGCACTCCTTTCTTTGTACAGGTTAAAGGCAAGGGTATTGGTTGAGAGTGAAGGAGAGAATGGGAGTGGGAGGCTGGAGGTCTGAGTTGAGAATATTTGACATAGTTGTTGGGGGCTGTGGAAGAGTGAGTTGACCAGAGACTGTCCTAGGATGGTCTGGCAGAGGGAGCCAAGTATGCAGCAAAGGCCAGAAGTTAGCCTCCTTGCTCATGCAGAGAATTGTAGACATAGTAGAGGAGTGAGGATGGAGGCTAACTAGAAATAGAAACTACATTTAATACTATATAACAAAGGGGGTGTCACAAATCATGGGGAAGGAATGGATTGTTCAAAAATGGTGCTTAGGGGATGGCTGAACTATTGATAAAATCTGTTTAGATTCTGGGCTCACAGCCAGAAATTTTGAATGAATTTTAAAATTCAAACAAAAATATAGAAGGAAATATGGATGGATTTTTTTTCCTGATCATCTGATGCATAAAAGCAGTAAGAATCATAAAGGGACACTTCCCTGACCCTTTAACAACTTAAAATTAACCGTTTGTTCTGACACATGCTACCCTATATATGAACCTTGAAGACATGATGCTAAGTGAAATAAGCCAGATACAACAGGACAAATATTGCATGATTGCACTTATATGAAGTACCAAGAATAGGCAAATTCACAGAGACAGGAAGTAGAAGTTCCCAGGGGCTGAGAGGAGGGAGTGGGGAGTTAATCATTTAATGGGTACAAAGTTTGGGATGGTGAAAAAGTTCTGAAAACAGTGGTAGAGCTTATAGTACAACTTTGTGAATTTACTTAATGCCGCTGTCTTATATTTAAAAGGATTAAAATGTAAACTTTATGTTATGTATATCTTACCACAGAAAGAAAAAAAGTGGTCGTTTTGGTATGCTAATCTACCATTAACAAGTGCAAATGAACGGAGAAAATACTTTTGAAAGTGAGAAGATTGTTTTTCTTAATGTATAAAGACTTTGTACAAGTCAGTTTAAAAAAAAAAGATTGCTGTTTAAAAAGGCAGAGGCAGGAATAGTTAATTCACAAAAGGAAATAAAGATTGTCAAAATAACTAAGGAAAGTTCAGCCTCACTGGTAATAAAAGAAAATGAAGTTAAATTAGTGTTTATTCATTTTTCACATATCAAAGTTGAAACTGATGAGAAAATCACTCATACTGCCTGTGAGAATGTCAACTAAATAGTTTTTCTGGATAGTACATTAACAACTTAGCTTTTTAAATGTTCACACATCTCCTTTTCAGTAATTCTACTCCTAGGAATTCATTCTAAAGGGAAAAAAAGAAATGTAGATAGGTAATTCAGCATATCGCCAAAATTACAATAATCCAAATGCTTGATATTAGGGAATGAATTACAAAATTATAGTGTTTTCATTCTATGTATCACTCATTTTAAATGTTCAGAGAATTTTTGATGCCAAGGTTGGATACTTAACAGTGCATGTAATAAAAGAAGAAAATGTGTTGTATATATCATGTGCATTGATTACAGAGGCGTCACAACGTTTGTGATTTTCACTCTGGCCATCAACTGTGTTTGCTCATCAGAGAGTGAGATAGAGCAAGACAGACAGCTTTAATTGTTCAAACAACTCATCTGAGCACATGATCATTCACTCTGGAGTAAGTAGGAAATGGGAGACAGGCTGCCTTTCCGTTAGCCGCACTGGACAGGAACTTCTTGCCATGGTCTGTGTAGTTCTAATGTCTACTGATCTGTCATTTTGTATAGTAACCCCCGCACTAAGCGAACTACTTCGCATAGTGCTTAGACAGTTTTCTGTCTACTTTAAATCTATTTTTATTTCCATTCTTACTACTTACAGCTCAAATTCGTGTTTGTGTTCTAAAAGTCAACACCCTTTATTATTTGCTTAGCCAAATGCTGGAATCTGTTACTACCCTGGAGGAACCCCTGGCTGCACTGGACTTACTGGGAGGACAGTATGTTGGTATCCAGCATGATGCCTGCTCAAGAGATTTTCAAGGAAAATTCTGAGTCTTTGCAGTTTTCACTTTATAGGCTAAGTTTAGAACCAAACTCTCATGTACAGGGCAGCCTTGCTTTTATGTACCTAAAAAAATTATAGTGAAGTGAGCAACATAGAAATATGAAGTTGTCTATAGATGGTGGGACTGTGAAAGACTTTTTCTACTCATACTTTTCAGAATTTGGCAGATTCTCTGTAGTGAGCATGTATTGCTTTTATAAGCAGTTATCATTTTGAACAACCAAAGCATTTAAAATAGTTTTTACAGTTTTCAGTTACTCTTTGTAAATAACGTACTTCGGTCTAAAATACAGCTTAATGTCACATCTCTTAGCTCCACATATTTCTGCACTTATATGAAGTACCAAGAATAGGCAAATTCACAGAGACAGGAAGTAGAAGTTCCCAGGGGCTGGGACTCTTAGCTCCACATATTTCTGAGTAATGTCTACCATTTATTGAGTACTTTTTAAGTACCAGGCTCGGCAAAGTACTTGACATGCATTTTAACCTTCGTAGTATCCTTGTAAGATTTATCTGCTATTCTCCATTTTATAGATGGTGTTATCATTAATATTTATTGAACATTTACTGTGAGGCACTATTCTAATCCTTACTCGTTTATTTAATTTGAGGCTAAGTAACTTTTCCAAGGTGACCCCATATGTTAGAGCCAGGGCTGGGCATGGGCAGTTTGACTGCAGAGCCCACACTCCTTCCAGCAGCTGATACAGATGTGAAGCCCAAGCTTATGGAGTCCCAGGAACAGTGGGGTATGGGCCTCCTGCCTAGATCTATCTGTCTGTGCCTTTCATTATACTCTACTTCCTCCTTCCTAGAAATTAAAAAAAAAACTTTAAAAATTACATCTTACCTGTTAGGTATTATCTGAGGAAATTTCTGGTTGAACCACTGGAAGAAAAACAGAAGCTATGCCTACAAGTATTTTGATACCATAGGCACTAACAATGAGCTATTATTAGAAATGGTAAACCAAAATGAGAACATTGTTACTTGTTATTTTTCCTGAAAAAGTAATCATTTATTTGGATTAGTTAGGACAGGCTTGAAGATGGCATATATATTGCAAGGGCATTATTGGGGTCAGTGATTGGAAATGGCTTTTTTTTTTTTAACTTTCCTTCAAACCTAAAATAATAAGGAAATGCTACTTAGCTTAGTACACATTTTTGTGACAGACTGAGACACCTAACACTCACAGGTACTAAAAGTTAAGACAACAAACTAGGCATGTTTTCATTACTAGAGATACAAGAAAATAGTGCCAAAGGCTGCAATGCATCAGGCACAGGATAGCCTAAGGATGTCAAGTGGGGACAGCTGGTTAGACTGTACTACAAGTATGGTCACCATTCCACAGCTAACATGATTCCCCCCATGGCTCCACTGGGGCAGTCTCATGGCATTCCTCATTCTACCTGGCTAAGACTTATTTTAATTCTGGATTTATAAAAAGGATTTTCACATAATTCTCATAAAACAAGCATACATTTATTAACACATTTTAAATAAATTCACTGACTTTACTTTGGATAATAGCTATTAAACAAAAAATACTTACTCTAAAATATGAAATTAGATTTTGATTCCTCCCTTAAAAAGCATTTGCTTCCACTAAACATCAACTTGAAAATGTAAAACATAAAAAAAAAAGCTGTGTGTGTAAATAATATATGCCTCCTAAACAGAAACATATCAGAGTTGTAAGAAAGGGAATTTGTGTCATAATAACATTTAAGGTTTGTCAATCTTTGAACTCTTTGTGGTCTTGCTACTTATCTGTAAAATGGAAATAACTACTTCACAAGATTGTTGCAAAGCTCAAGTAGACAATGTATAACGTATAAGATGTGAAACGGCATATTACCATTACTTTGTCAGTTATTTATTCTGTCAGCTCCACATGAGTAGTTAACTTGTCTAATTTAAATTCGTTTTATTTCCATGCTTGCTACTTATAGCTCAAATTTGTGTTTGTGTTCTAAAAGTCAACACCCTTTATGTTAAAACCTGTATTTTCTTTCTTACAGGTATGAGTACATTCTGAATCCCAGGACGGTGGGAATTAGCCAGTGGATTGCAGGCATGTTGTGGAAGTTGCTGATGAGATCCCAGCCCTGCAGGCTGTGTTCTTTCAGAAAGATGCTGTCAGCTCCACAATACAGACCTTTTCTAGTATCCTTCACCTATACAACTGATAATCAGTCAAACAAGGAAAATGAAAGGACAGTGGAAAAGCTCTATAAACTGTCAGTTGACATCAGGAAAATTCGAAGATTAAAAGGATGGGTACTTCTGGAGGATGAAACCTATGTTGAAGAAATTGCAAATGCTTTACAACAACTGGGTGCCGAAGAGACTGCCATAGCCAGTATCTTGGAACGCTGCCCAGAGGCAATTATTTGCAGTCCAACTGCTGTTAACATCCAAAGAGAACTCTGGCAGTTGGTTTGCAAAAACGAGGAAGAGTTAGTTAGGTTAATAGAACAATTTCCAGAATCTTTCTTTACTATTAAAGACCAGGAAAATCAGAGGCTGAATGTTCAGTTCTTTAAAGAGTTGGGGCTCAAAAATGTGGTCATTAGAAGATTTTTGACAACTGCATCTAATATTTTTCATAATCCTATTGAGAAGAATAAGCAAATGATAAAGATTCTTCAAGAGAGTTATCTAAATTTAGGTGGCTCTGAGGCCAACATGAAAGTTTGGCTACTAAAATTGTTAAGCCAAAACCCATTTATTTTGTTAAATTCTTCTGCAGCTGTCAAGGAAACACTAGAATTTCTCCAGGAACAAAGTTTTACAAACTTTGAAATTCTTCAACTTCTGTCCAAACTCAAAGGATTTCTTTTTCAGCTTTGCCCAAGAAGTATACAGAAGAGTATTTCCTTCTCTAAAAATGCTTTTAAATGTACTGATCATGACCTGAAGCAGTTAATTTTGAAATGTCCTGCCTTCTTATATTATTCTGTTCCAGTTTTGGAAGAGAGAATTCAGGGATTATTAAAAGAAGGAATTTCCATAGCTCAGATAAGAGAGACACCAATGGTTCTTGAATTAACGCCTCATATAGTACAGTACAGGATAAGGAAACTGAATTCCTTAGGCTATAGAATAAGGGATGGACATTTAGCAAACCTAAATGGAACGAAGAAAGAGTTTGAGGCCAACTTTGGTAAAATTCAGGCCAAAAAAGGAAGGCCATTTTTTAACCCTGTGGCACCATTAAATATTGAAGAATAACTTGCTCACTGATGTTGCTTTTTTCTAACAGTGCAGAATGAAACTGAGTAGCAAAAACTTAAGTGATTCAGGCAGTTTGTGGGCACCAGTAATTTTAAGAATCTACTTAGCTTCAGGATTGTGTTTAAATTACCTCTAAGTAGATAGTCTCTGACTCAATTGCTATATTTAAAAATATAAATTGCACTTATTTTAAATTTTGTAATTTTGACCTTGAACTATTTCAAAAAAAAACTACTATTAAATGGCACATTAATGTGATATTTTATAAGTAAATAATTTCTAAGAAACTGTCAAGTACACTCCCTTAATCCAAAGTATGGATACATTTTTATCCATATAGCACATTTCATCCAGGATGCAGACCCAGCCTTCTTTCTCACCACTAGCTCTAAAATGTCATTCTACTGCCGTCTGAATTCTACAGCTTAGTGTTTAGTGAAACATTACCAAACTTCTAATACATTTTTGTAGAGAAAGCTGATTTTATCTCCTGGTTGGAATAAATGAGTATCTTTGAGAACCAACTATTGTCCATCAAAGGGAATAATTAGAGCTTATTTGTGTGGTCCGTTTGTTTCAAATTAGCTATTTTATCTCTCATGAAACATTTACATGCATTCATTGCTATCCCTTTTTACAGATGAGGAAACAGAAGTTTAGAGAGGCCACTCAGCTGCCAAGTGCCAGAGCCCAGATTTACTAAGATCTTTTGTTCAAACCTTGTGAACAGGAAAAGGACTGCTTATGAGTTGTCATGAAAAGTCACCTCTTACCTGACATGCTAGAAGAGTGAGTATCAACTACAAATATAGGGATTTTTATGAAAACTCCGTAAAATTCCTTATATTTGAAATGATCTAATTTATACAAAGTAAATGCAGCTTTTAAGAAAACTTTTTGAAAATCCAAACCTGACTATAAAATACAAAAACGTAAAGTATATGACGGTTGATAATGATTTTAGTAGGTTTCAAGTTTCTATTTCTAAATTTTGTTCCAAGATAAACATTACCCAGATAAGAGTGGCTTACTTTCAGATGTGGAGTTTGAACTGTAACAAATACATAACTAAACAATTGACTCTGGTGCTCAAACATCTGTGCGCTGTGCATGGCCTTAAGTGATGAAAAACGGAGGCCATGTCTTCACTCTATCCATTCAATCAGCAAATGTAAGTAACCCTCACTATCCAAATCGATTCAGTTCCTTAGTTAGGAAGGTGAAAGACTGCTCTATGCAGCACCTACTAAGTGCCAGGCACGCTGTGCTATACAACCCTAAGAGCTGAATACCATTGTTTACTGTTTTAACAGATGAGGACACTCAGACACAGAGAGGATAAGTCACTTACTCAAAGTCACACAGAAATGTCTGTCCAAGAGAAAGCATGACAGCCAGTATGGTTGGAGCAGAGTTAAGTGATGGGAAGAGTGGCACAAGGTGAGCAGCACAGGTCCATCTAAGAGACCTCATTCTACGTGTGATGGGAAACCCTTGGGCAGGTTTTAGTTTATGCTTGTTGTCCTGACATAATTATCAGTAGTTCTGTCTTTCACTCTCAAGTGTCTCCATTTGGAATACATTATACATTGTATGGTCACCTTGGTAGTTCTATTTTAGATATCAATTTTGAGATGCCTACTAGTACCTGAGCAGAGATTTCAAACAGGAAGATGGTTAAGTCTGGAGTTGTGAGAAATTAGGACTGGAGATAGATATTCAGGGATTATCTGCATATCTATGGTATCTAAGTCAATGGCTATAAATGAGATTACCCAGAAAGAAGACAGATTTGGAGTAGTGGATGACCAAGCCTGGGGATCAGAATAACTCTGCCAAGAAAAGACAGCATTTCAATAATATTGAATGCCATGGGGAGGTCAACTTAAGATACAGAGAAGTGACCAGTGGATTTGGCAAAAAGGAACTTACTGGTTGGCCC